GAATAGGTGGAGAAGGAGGAGGAGAATGATGAGGAGGAGGAGGAGGATGGTGCCCTGAGGGTTGAGGCCCCGAGAGTAGGGGTCCCAGGCCGCGCACCAAAGGCCACCACCCTTGCCGACGGTTGATATTGCGCAGCGGTGGTTTCAAAGATGTGGTCCTGAGGGGTGGGGCTCCGAGGGTGTGAAGGGGTCCCAGACTGAATACGTTGCTTGAGGCCCTTCGTCCTAAGCCGAAGAACGAAAAACGGCATGATCGTACATTTATCTGAGGTCCGCGCGGAGTTCTTGGATCGCCGTTGGGCCCGCCTGGCGGCGCCGCCGACGCCGCCCCCCTGGCGTGCTCCGCGCGCCAGGGAGGGGGGTACAGCGCCGATCCAACAAAAATTGCGCGGACTTCGAGACGTTATGTTTCTGCCGTTTTTGTTCCTCTCAAGGGGGTCCCGCGGGTGAGAAGGGGTCCCAGGCTGAGTTTTCACGTTTGAGGCCCGTTGTCCTTCCCTCTCCTCCCACATTGTACTACTTGGGTGACGCCAGCACCCAGGGATCTCGACCGCTACCCCAGGGCTGTCTTTTCATCCTGAGTCGTATTGTGACGGTCCCGGGGCCAGGAAGCTGCCCCTAGGAACCGAAAAGTACGAACGAATAGCCGTTGCGATTTTTTGTGCAGTGCTTGGGGTCTGAGTGCTTAGGGCACCACCCCTCAGGCTCTTCTTTGAACCGCCGATGCGCGCGGCCGAGAGGTGCTGATGGTGGGCCCCCACGTCCCAGGGCCGGTGCCCAACCTGGTGATGCAGCCGCCCGGCGCGCTCGCCAAGTCCGCGATGCCGGCCATGCAGCCGCCCTCGTCGCCGCCGCCGGCGTTCACGAAGATGGCCTCCTCCTCCTCATTCTCCTCCTCCTCCTCCACTTCCCCCGCCTTTTCCTCCTCTCCCTTCTCCACCTCCTTCTTATCATCCTCCTCATCCTCTTCCGCCTCCCTCCCTCCCTCCCTCCCTCCCTCCCTCCCTCCCTCCCTCCCTCCCTCATCCGCCGCCGCCTCCTGCGCCTCCTCCTCCCTCTCCTCCATCCCTGTTCCTGTAACTCTTTCCTGTCGGACCCCCACACATGTCGGTAGGGCGGGGAGCGTGTTTCGCCGGAGATTTCCTCACATGTTATGAGATTGCAAATTCGGATTTTGCAGCAGTTTCACGGATGGAAGGCGGGTCGTTTTCAAGATGTGGTTCTCGCATTGGCGACATTCACATTCCTGTTAAGAGTTTGCAGCAGCTTCAAGGATGAAGGGGTGGTTATTTTCAGAATGTGGCTCTCGCTTTAGCGCCGCGAACATTCGCTTCAAAATTTTGCAACATTTTGAAGTATTGAGGGTGGTAGCTTTCATGATGTGGCTCTCGCCTTAGCGCCGCGCACATTCGCTTCAACAGTTTGCAGCAGCTTCCAGGATGGAAGGCATGTAAATTTCGAAAAATATCGCTCTCGCTTGGGCGCCACGCACGAAGGTTTGTTCAAGTTTGCAGCAGCGTCACGGATGGAGGGTGGGTTGTTTTTTAATGTTTGTTCTTGCTTTAGCGTCGCGCACAGTCGTCTATAACGTTTGCAGCAGCTTCAAGGATTCGCATGGCTGAAGTCCCTAGAATATCGTTCTGGCACCGTTTAGGATTCCCAGGATGCAGCAGTCAGGCTGATTCGTTGTAATGAAGTCCCAGGAATGCGTTCTGGCAAGAATCAGGATCGCCAAGACGCAACAGTAAAGTTGATTCGCGGCGATGAAGTCCCAGGAACGGTGTTTTGACACGATTGGGGGTTCTCAATCGGTTGTCTTCCAATCGGGCATTCCCCGTAGTGAAAGCAAACTTGTGAAGAGGGAACTCGGATGGAGGGATGATTGCAACATCGTTGATGCGTCTTGGTTTCAAATTGGTCCTCTTCCCTCCTCGTCCTGCTACGCAACGTGCGCGGACGGGGGAGGGGGCGGACGCAGGGCGCGTTGAAAAAATGGGCCGCCATGAGATCCAGGGAGATTCCGTGGCCTCGGCCATGATGCATCGCCCCCATGCCCTAGTCCTAACTCCCCTCGTGGACGTTCCCAATCCCCCCCCGCCCCCTGCTCCTCCGCCTCCTCCTCCTCCCCCTCCTCTTCCTCCTCCCCCTCCGCCTCCTCCGTCTCCTTTTTCCACTCCTCCTCCACCTCCTCCTCCTCCTCCATTCTGTTCCCTGACAAATGAAACTGGCGCGACCCCAATTAGGGGAAAGCTTCCTATTGCATGGGCGCAGTGCTTGGCATTGCTTGGCATTGCTTGGCGTTGCTTGGCATTGCTTCGCATTGCTTCGCATTGCTTCGCATTGCTCCGCATTGCTTCGCAATGCTTGGCATTGCTTGGCATTGCTTGGTATTGCCTCGCATTGTTTGGCATTGCTTGGCATTGCTTCGCATTGCTTTGCGCTGCTTGGCATTGCTTGGTATTGCTTCGCATTGCTTCGCATTGCTTCGCATTGGCAATGCTTTGCATTGCTTGGCATTGCTAAGAATACGAGGCACCGGGGGCGGGGAACCCGAGGAACCCGGGGAACCCAAGGAACCTCCGAGGAACAGGCAACGTAACAATAGGTGGCACCGAGGACGGGGTCCCGAGGAACCCGGGGACTCCGAGGAACCTCCGAGGAACGGGCAACATAACAGTAGAAGGCACCAACCTTCAGCCAATGAAGAACCCCTCAGGCAAGCCTGATTGGGGAGCAGTTCCTCCCAGTCGCATCCCGAGGCTGGTCCAGAGGGTGGGCCGGGCGTTTCGCCTGAGACTTCGTCACCGTTGATGATCCTGCAGCTGAGGATTTGGAGCAGCTTCGTAGATGGAGGGCGGGTCGTTTTCAAAGCGTGGCTCTCGCATCAACGCCGCGCACACTTGTCTCGAAAGCTTTTGCAGGATCGTCGTGGATGGAAAGCAGGTGGTTTTCAGCATGCTGTTCTCGCCTTGGCGCCGCGCACGTCTGTTTTTGAAGCTTGCAGCCGTGCCACCGATGGAGGGCGGGTCGTTTTCAAAATGTGGTTCTCGCCTCAGCGCCGCGCACATTCGTTTTGACAATTCAAGGATTCTCATGGTTAACGTCCTGGACATAGTCTTTTGGCAGGATGTCGGATTGTCAGGGCGCAGAAGTTGCGTTGATTCGTGGTGTTGGAATCCAGGAATGGTGTTTCTGGCACTGTTCAGGACCGTCAAGACGCAATAGTAACGGTGATTCGCGGCGTTGAAGTCCCAGGAATGGTGTTCTGGGACAGTTCATGATTTTCAGACGGTTGTTTTCCAACAGGGGCATTTCCTTGAGTTCAAAAAGATGTCGGTAAGGGCCTATGAAGAGGGAACTTGGAGGGAGGGCTTATTGCAATGATGAGTCGTGAGTTTGCACTGATCCTCCTTCTCCTCCTCCTCATCCGCCTCCTCCTCCTCCTCCTCCTCCTCCTCCTCCCTTCTCCTCCCCCCCCTCCTCCTCCTCTTCCTCGTTCTCCTCTTTCTTCTCCTACTCCGCCTACTTTTCCCACTCCTCCTCCCCACCCTCGCCCGCACGCCAAAGGCCCCGCCGACGCCGGGCGGCGCTGAAGGACGCCTCCGGGGCGTTGGTGCCTAGGCGGATCCTGGTCGGCGAGCTGGCCGCGTTTTTGCGCGGTGCCGTGGCCACTTGCGGGCGGAATGAGGAGGAGGAAGGAGGAGGTAGAGGGGAAGGAGGGAGGAGGGAGGAGGGAGAGAAGGAGAGAGAGAAGGAGGGAGAGGAGAGAGAGAGAGGGATCAGGAGGAGGAGAGGAGGGAGGAAAATGGAAGGAGAAGGAGGAGGAGGGGGAGGAGGAGGAGGAGGAGGAGGAGGAGGAGGAGGAGGAGGAGGGGGAGCGAGGGAGGAGGGAGGGAGGGAGGGAGGGAGGGAGGGAGGAGGAGGAGGAGGAGGAGGAGGGGATGAGGAAGAGCAGGAGGATGAGGAGGATGAGGAGGAGGAGGAGGAGGAGGAGGAGGACCAGTGTAAACCCAAGAACCATCAACGATGTTGGAATCTATCCTTCCTTCAGGCTCCCTCTTCGCAGGCCCCTACAACGGTTCATTTCCATTGGGGGAACTGCCTCGTTGGAAGACAATCGTTTGAAGACCCTGAAACATGCCAAAGCATTGTTCTCGGGATCCCAACGCCACAAATCAACCTGACTGTTGCGTGCAGACCATCCTGAATCGTGCCAAAACGCCATTCCTGGGACTTCAACAGAGTGAGTCAACGTAACTGTTGCGCCCGCGTAATCCTGGATCCTTTCAAGACATAATCTCTGGTACGCTGATGATGGGAATCCGTGAAACTCCTGCAACTTGTGTAAAAGAGTGTGCGCGGCGCTAAGGCGAGAGCCACATTTTGAAAGGAACCGCCCTCAACCCGCGAAACTCTGGCAAACTTTTTAAACGAATGTGCGCGGCGCTAAGCGAGAGCCACATTTTGAAAAAGAGCCGCCCTCAATCCGTGAACCTCTTCTGCGATTTGTTAAAAACGAATATGCGCCGCGCTAAGGCGACAGCCACATTTTGAAAAGGAACCGCCCTCAATATGTGAAGCTTTTGCGATGTTTGTATCGAATGTGCGTCGCGCTCAGGCGAGAGCCACATTTTGAAACCACCCGCCTTCAATCCGTGAAACTCATGAACATATTTTAAACGAATGTGCGCGCGCTCAGGCGAGAGCCCCATTTTGAAAACCACCCGCTTTCAATTAGTGAAACTCTTTTTTTAACGAATGTGCGCCGCGCTACGGCGAGAGCCACATTTTGAAAACGACCCGCCTTCAATCCGTGAAACTCTTGCAATTTCTTATAAACGAATGCGCGCCGCGCTAAGGCGAGAGCCACATTTTGAAAACCACCCGCCCTCCATTTGGGAAACTGCTGCGAATTTTGAAGCTTCAGAGTCAAACATGGTAAGGAAGTCTCAAGCGCAACGCCCGTCCCGCCCTAAAAACTGGCTTCAGGGTGCGACAGGGAGAAGCTATTTATAAGGAGGAGGAGGAGGAGGAGGAGGAGGGAGGGAGGGAGGGAGGGAGGGAGGGAGGGAGGGAGGGGGGAGGAGGGCGGGAGGGAGGGAGGGAGGGAGGGAGGAGGGAAGGGAGGGAGGGGAGAGGAGGGAAGGAGGGGAGGGAGGAAGGAGGATGGAGGAGGGAGGGAGGGAGGAAAGAAGGAGGAGGAGGAGGAGGATGGAGGAGGAGGGGGAGGAGAAGGAGGAGGAGGGGGAGGAGGAGGAGGAGGAGGAGGATTCTCCTCGGTTTCGGCCTCCAGGGGCCGTCATGGGGCTCTGGGGCCATCTAACACGAATCCGGGACGAAGAACTACCCCGGGGAAGCGGGCCCAATCCCGAGGCACCATGCACAGGGACGCTTTCGGAGCGCCCCGGAGCTCTCTGGAACGGCCGCGGCTTCGGCACGACCAGGGCCTGCTCGGCCTCCCAGGTCTGGACCGAGGCAGCCCCGGTCCTCGTGGCCGCCTCGGTCCCCGTGGCCTCCCTGGCCTGGTCGAGTCCTTTCTTGTCGTGGGCGCCTGTCTGCCCTCTCTACCCTCTCCAGCCTCTTCGCTTCGAGCCCACCTGACCTCGCTGGTCTTGAAGGTCTCTCCTGCCTTCAGCCTGGGCTGCAAGAGGGGAGGCGGCATGGGGGGAATTTCAGCTACACGCACGTGCAGATCGAAGCCTCTGGGCGAGAGCTATCTGGGCCTCCTCCTTCTCCTCCTCTTCCTCCTCCTCCTCCTTCTCGCCCTCCTCTTCCTCCTCCTCCTCCTCCTCCTCTTCCTCCTCCTCCTCCTCTTCCTCGTCCTCATCATCCTCATCCCTCCTCTCCCTCCTCCTCGCCCTCCTCCTCCTCATCCTCCCCCGCCTCCTTTTCCTCCGTACGCCTCCTTTCCTCCTCCTATCCTGCTCCGCCTTCGCCTCGTCTGCTCCTCCGCATCATGCTCTACTGTCTCCCTTTCCTCCTCTCCGCCCGCCTCCGCCTGTCTTCCCCAGTCTCCTATCCCCTTCTCCTCCTCTGTTCCTCCTCCTCTGTTCCTGCCGTCCCCTCTCTTTCCTCCTCCTTCTTCCCCGTCGCCACCCTTTTCCCCCCTTGCTCTACCTCCCTCCTCCTCCTCCTTTCTCCTATCATCGCCAGCATCCCTACTCCGGCTCCTACCCCTGCACTGCTACTATACTACTACTACTACTACTACTACTACTACTACTACTACTACTACTACTACTACTACTATTACTACTAATACTACTAATACTACAAATAATAATACTACTAATACGACTACTCTACTACTACTACTACTACTACTACTACTACTACTACTACTACTACTACTACTACTACTACTACTACTACTACTACTACTACTACTACCTACTACTACTACTACTACTACTACTACTGACGACTACTACTTACTACTACTACAACTACTACTACTGCTACTACTACTACTACGACTACTACTACTACTACTACTACAACTACTAGTAGTAGTACTACTACTAATACTACTACTACTACTAATACGACTACTCTACTACTACTTACTACTACTTACAACTACTTACTATACTAACTACTTTTACTACTACTACTTACTTACACTACTAATACTACTACTACTACTTACTACTACGACGACGACGACGACGACGACTACTACTTACTACTACTACAAGCACTACCACTACTACTACTACTACTACTACTACTACTACTTAGCTACGACGACGACCTTACTTATAGACGACTATACTACAGTACTAGTACTAGTACGTATTACTACTACGACTACTACTACTTACTACTGCTACTACTACTACACTACCCCATCACCCACCACTACTACGACTACTGACTATATACTACTAACTACGGCTACTTACTATACCACTACTTACGACTAGAATACTACGACTACTACTACTCCTTACTGCTGCCACTAATACTAACTTTAGCACGACTTACTTACTAACACTACTCGTACTATTACTACTACTACAACTACTACTACTACTACGACGACGACTACTACCACTACTACTGCTACTGCTACTACTACTACTACTACTACTACTACTACTACGGCTACTACTACTGCTACTACTACTACTACTACTACTCGTACTGCGACGACTACTACTACTACTACTACTACTACTACTACTACTACCACGACTACTATTACGATTACTATCATTATTACTATTACGACTACTACTATTACTACTACTACGGCTAATACAGCAACAACAACCACTACTACTACTACTGCGACTACGACTACGACTACTACTACTACTACTACTGCTACTTCTGCTACTACTACCACTACTACTACTACTACCGCTACTACTACTACTACTACTACTACTACTACTACTATTACTACTACTACGACTACTACTACTACTACTACTACTACTACTACTACTACTACCACTACTACTACCACTACCACTACCACTACCATTACCACTGCCACTGCTATCACTACTACCACTATTATCACTGCTACCACTATTTCTGTTATTCCACACATCATAAGTGGGGTTCTGTTTTCTCTGGACACCCTCCGCGCAGGATCTCTCCTCCTCCTCCTCCTCCTCCTCCTCCCTCTCTTTCACTCCCGCTCCCATCATCATCATCACCACCATCATCATCATCATCATCATCATCGCACTCATCACCACTCATCATCATCATCGCCCCACCCACCCGCCCACCCACCCTCTCATTCACTCACTCACTCACTCACTCACTCACTTACTCATCACCGTCACTCGCTTATGTCACCCGAGGAAGTCTCAGGCGGGAGCTCCCTTCCTATGGGCCCCGCACTTTTGGTAGTCCGAGCGGGTCATCGGCAACCTGTAACTGTCGCCACTTTTGGGCTCCTCAGGCTTGGATTTGGAGGAACTATCAAGCGGGAGCTTGGTCTGTGAGTGAATTGTGGGGAAGTCTCAGGCGGGAGCCCCCTCCCTATGGGTCTGGCATTTCACGTTGGCAATCCGAGCGGGTCATCGGCAACCTGTAGCTGTCGTCATATTTGTGGGTTCTCAGGCTTGAATTTGGAGGAAGTGTAGAGCGGGAGCTTCGTATATGAGTGAATTGTGAGGAAGTCTCAGGCGGGAGCCCCTTCTTTATGGGTCCCGCATTTCATGTTGGTAATCCGAGCGGGTCATCGGCAACGTGTATCTGTCGTCATTGTTTGGCTCGCCAGGCTTGACTTTGGAGGGAGTATAGAGCGGGAGCCTCGTATGTGAGTAAATTGTGAGGAACTCTCAGGCGGGAACCCCCTCCTTATGGGTCCCACATTTCACGTAGGTAATCCGAGCGGGTCATCGGCAACCTGTAACTGTCGCTTTTTGGGCTCCTCAGGCTTGAATTTGGAGGAAGTGTAGAGCGGGAGCCTTGTATGTGAGTGAATTGTGAGGAAGTCTCACGCGGGAGCCCCTTCCCGATGGGTCCCGCATTTTATGCTGGCAATCCGAGCGGGTCATCGGCAACCCGTAACTGTCGCCAATTTTGGGCACCTCAGGCTTGAATGTGGAGGAAGTATCAAGCGGGATCGTCGTCTGTGAGTGACTTGTGAAACAGTCTCACGCGGGA